AAGCATAGAAAGCTCTCAATTAATAACTGAGAGAGTGCTTCATGAACACTACGCTCGTAAAAAAAATTAAACGCCTATGAAAAACAGCAAAAGGTTAAAGCATATATAGCGTTTTTAAATGAGACCGTTTACTTCAATGAAGGACATATTTCCAAATTATTCAAAAGAATGAGGGAATTACTGGTAGGTTGAAAAGTATTGACACGGTGTGCCCAAAAATTTTAAATATCCAATTCGCAGCATTTGAAAAATTTAGTCAAATGTGGGTAAAATACTGCAGAAAATATGTTTAGAATTTAGAATTGTTTTTTAAACTGTATCTTTAAAAAAAAAAGAAAAGAATCAAGAAAATTTTATGGGATGGATTTGTTTTAACTAATCATAATCGATGTAGTCTTTCCTATTTGATGCAATACCAGAAGTTAAAGATTTTATTAGTTTTAAATAATTCTAATATTACCCTAAGGTTGATCAGATTTACAATTTAATTCTTGACATCATACACGGTAAGAAAAAAGTACCCAACGGCCAGTTCACTTTTACCTACTTTTGACTAGTTTGTCTCCTTTTCTCTTTCTAATGTTGTCAAAAACGGAGGAGCAAAGCCACCCAACAGGGGTAGTAATGTGTGGGAACCCAACGTTGAGTATAATCATATTTACTTACTGTTGGGTACAAATAACGTACTTTTGGTTAAAAAGCCAGTGGAAAATTCCATACGAACTGCACACAAGTAAATGAAAATTACTTTGGCTCGCTTTACCTACTTTTGGGTTCCTGCACTATAGTGCCGAGATGAGTGAAAAGAACTTAATTTTGGGTACTTTTTTCGAACCGTGTACAACACGCAAAACCCAGTAGGCAATTTTATTTTGAAGCAAAATTCACCTGGCTGAAATGGGAATCAGAGTCTAACTTCGTGGTACTCACACACAGTTTACCTAAACTACGGATAATTCCACTATTCGCATGACCATTACGAATAATTTTATGACAAAGAATAATTTTATTATATTACTAAAATGAAAGTCTGATAGCTTAATTTTGGAAGTCTCAGGATCTTGACATGATTCTAAATTCCGAAATTTAAATTTTTTCTGGGTCCCAGATCATTAAATTTTTTGTTAGTCTGATTTTACTTGGAATTCTTCTCAGGATATTTTCGCCCTTTTGTTTATTTCCATTTTAATCATCCTAGAATTCCATCATACTTCATTTCTCTATTCCCCTAAACAAATTTTGATAATATCCAAACTTTTACAGTAACATTCTAAGAGATCTTAGCATTACCTATTTTAATCTCTTATAATTCACTCTCCAATTCAACAATTCCCTCAAACTGGTAATAATTCCCAAGAATTGGCACAATTTTGTGTCCATTTTTCTCTATGAAATTCTGAAAAAAAAATCATAATAATTTCCTTGGTACACTCTTCAGAATGACCGTCACGCTCTTCTCAGACTCCGATAATTCCCTTTGAACTGCGTGAAATCCTCTTCAGAATTTCCTAACTATACTACTATATACTAGCTACTCAGAAGTAGCTTGAAATTCTCGTTTTATTTCACAAGGAATTCACCTTACACTTCACGGTGAACAATTTGCAGAATTGCCTTAATTATGTAATGTCCAACGTTGATAGACGTTGAGTAGCAAGTTTTGCTTTTTACTTTTTTGATTAGATGGTAAATCAATTGCAGTGATATTTTTAAACAACATGTTTCAAAAATCTGGGAAAATCTGAAACATATTTAAAAAAATATTGAAATATACGTGGTATGTCTGTGTATCTGGCAAGACGACTAAACATCTGGAAAATCCAGATAAATCTGGAATACTGGCAACGCTGCTCTTGATTATTTTATATTTATTTAGATTTTGTTTAATCTTAGACTTAATTTACTTATGATATTGATGCAACTATAATAAATATTAGAATATTTCTAATCCCAGATAAGTTAATATAAATACCAGGCTATGATTTCATTTTGAAACCTTCAGTTTATGCTGTGCTTACCTGTTTTATAATCGCTGCTGTGAAAATGCTGGCTACACACGAAGGAGTTTTTTGATGGTTTCGTTGAGCTTTTGATAGCATGGAGCCAAGAATTCACCATTTCACGGTTTTTCGGAAACTTATGTAGAAATACGCCCATGCTGCTCCTAGCTACGCAACCATATACTGAACAGTTTTTATTGCTCTTGGGTCTCAGGTCTTCCATGTAGTAGGTATGATCTAGCAGACACTGTGGTACAGCATTCAATTGGGTCGTCTTACGATTTATAGATGGAATTTTAACCAGTCTTACAAGATGCTTGCTGGGCACTGCATTCGCCTTTAGATAGCACGACGTAACTGAAAGAAAAAATGGGATGGACTTTAATTTAAATTGAAATAATAAGAATCAAGAAAGAATAATAAGGATCAAGAAAGAAGAATTTGATTTATTTTCAATGTAGGGCTAGTGAGCAGTGACATCTTAAAATAGTAGGAATACTCTATTCTACACACTATTTTTTTTTTCAAATACAGTGCACAATGGTCCCAAAGCCGTATATAGGAAGATAAAAATGTTTGCGCCCAAACCATCAGAGATATTGACAATTGAAAAGAGCTATTTTTCGAAGAAAATCACCATTAACTTTCAAATCAAAAAAGATAGCAACCTGAAGCAAAAACAACGTTTTCCCGATTTTTTAGGGGCCACCCTAACCTACTTGTTTAAAAAAATCTTAACTCATGAACCATTAAAGATAGAAATTTGGTGTTTTCAGCAAAGTTTGCTTCGAATTGATTATTCTCCAACTTTCTTCAACACTGCATTGGTCTATCTCAATTTCAATTAAAAAAAATTGTATTTTTAATCCACCAATTGTATGGACCACCTTAATTACACTAAAATGAAAATATTGGCCAAAAAATATGAAGAAACTTTATCCAAGACACCATATAACTAACATGTTGGAAAAGTAATGCCTTGGGGTGCTTTATAATTATGGAGCCTTATCGGTAAGAAGCACAGGGGCATATTGCCGTTAAGAAAAAAAAATGTTTTTACCTGTTATAAAGTCTTTGTCCTTGAAATGGTTTCGGCAGATCTTCCAGGAAGCAAACACTTTTGGATCTATTTCCTGTAATCCAAACAAATTCCTCCATTTGGGGAACGCTGATGTTTTGGAAGATGGAAACTTTTCCATATCAGGGATGTATTTTGAACGGCATCCAAGAACAGAACATCCTTTCTTTTCCACTGCTTTCTGTTTAACTTCCGGAAGCTTCACGGACGGGAGTGCTGAAGTTTTCAGTCTGCTGCGAACATCTGAAATTAAATTGATGCAACGAAAATTCAGCGATTGGTACGGTACGATGAAGGGTGCATTAGAAGGAATTTTTGGGTTTGCTTCTGTTGTCTACGGTCCATTTACAATTTTTCACAAATAAATTGGAAAACTACTAACTTTTCGTAAAATCATCACTTGAAAAATGACGTGAACAGATCCTCTCGTTGCCCGTTCCAGAAATCTTCACAACTTTTCGCCATCTGGTGAAAAACCTGCTCCCGGTTTTTGGCACTCGAAATAAATTCCTTCCAGAAGGATTACAGCCGGTAGCGAGGCATCTTATGTTTGAATCCTGCAAAAAAAAAAATATCATAAAAATGTTTGTTTACGTACTGAGAGGAACATCCTTTTTTTTATTTTACTGATATTTCGAAATGTTTGAACTAAAATATTAATCCTTACTTACCATTTTGATCTGCGCAGCTTTTTTGTTCGTAATTGATGTGGATTCCCGCATAAGCGCGAACCATAAATTGACCTTACCGATAATGGTTATAAATTGTTTATAATCCCTGCTAAACTTCAACTGAAATGGTTATGGAACTTTACATGAACGTTTAATGATAAAGTTTTAACCTTAAGTATTATAGTTTTTTGGAAGTGGACCTTACCAATAATGGGTTGTTAAGAACCATTACCATTCAAAATTCTTGTTTTCTCCATACATTTTCAGAAAGAAAACTATATTAGAACGTTTTTACTTATGGTTTGAGAACATTAATGGTAATGGTTATGGTAACCAGTAAAGTTCATGAATGGTTTTGTAACATCGATCAACTTTATGTGGAATATATCGCGAATTGGTTGCCTGTAAATTACTGATTACCAATTCACGATATATTTCACGTAAAGTTGAGCGATAATACAAAACCATTAATGAACCTTACTGACTACCATAACCATAACCATTAATGTTCTCAAACCATAAGTAAAAACGTTCTAATATAGTTCTCTTTCCGAAAATGTATGGAGAAAACAAGAATTTGGAATGGTAATGGTTCTTAACAACCCATTATTTGTAAGGTCCGCTTCCAAAAAACCATAATACATAAGGTTAAAACTTTATCACACAAACGTTCATGTAAAGTTCCATAACCATTTCAGTTGAAGTTTAGCAGGGATTATAAACAATTTATAACCATTATCGGTAAGGTCATGTGATGGTTCGCGTTTATGCGGGTTATCAAGCTAATCACTAACATAACTCGAAAAAACTACTTTTTTCTACCACAAAATGAAAAACGTACTCCGTTTGACAGATGATTTGATTACGATCACCGCTGCGATAGCAGCGCCACGGTGGCCGGTTCAAACTTGGATTTGACAATTAGTGACGTCACTAATTGCATGTACGCACCTGTACGCACAGGGGTTTTACTAACACAACTTAACCGACTGCTTCACCTCCGTAATCTAGCTCATTGAGTACAGAGGGCTTTATAGACCAATGAGGTACAGAGAGAGGTGAAGCAGATCGTGAAATATGGTTGTATTAGTAATCCAAAAAATCAACCTAAACGCAAGTAGTGACGTCACTAATTGCATGTATCATACAGGGGTTTTACTCACACAACTTAACCGACTGCTCCACCTCGGTAATCCAACTCATTGTTTATAGACAGCAAGCGGGCTGAGAAATTTTCAAAACAATCGTCATCTCAGCATAAAAGGATTGCGAAATCTTTGGAAAATTGTGGGCATTCTTCTGTGACGACCAAATCCAATGCTCAACGTGCATTGAAAACATTATTGAAGATCTGGATTATTGGAGTTCGATATTTCCGGCGATTTGGATGAATGCAGTCAACACAGAAGGTAAACAAATAATACGACAGTGAGCATTCATAAGGGCGTATACGCGATGATCGATTCTCTTCATCGAATTTCTCTTTGCATTGCTACAGCTAAGCGAAACAATTTTCTAGAATTTGTTCAATGCAGAGTTGTAACAGGTTGTATTAGCTATCAAAAGCAATAGCAAACGTACCGAGAAACGTTAAATCTAGCGAGTTATTAACAAAAGAGAAAATCGATGAAGAGAATCGATCATCGCGTATAGGCCCTTATGCATGCTCACTGTCGAATAATTGCTGATGATCCTCCCTTTCCTATAGTTCCTGATTAAAACGGTTCATCCCATTTTTTTTTCATAACACCAAAGTCATCAGAGAACTGGAAGTTGAGATTGTCGGGAAAGAATCGGAAAAGCAGTTGCTAGCGAGCAAAAGTTAAATTTTGCATGGCTGAGCTGAAACGGAAGGATTCACTCATAGGTTAATGCGCCGCTCTGGATGGATAGTCGGACAATGAAGCATGATAAAGGCACACAGACGACGATCATCCGGATGTTGAACCGGGAAGTGCAGACGGATAGTTTGGGAACGGAGACAGAGTCGAGCTGGTCTCGTGATATACAAACGGAGCGAAGTCGTTCCATGGATCGTTGGAGGGAGCGGGAAAGAAAGAGATCATGGAGACCCACCTATCGACGGGATTGGACACGGGAGAAATTCGCCGTGCCACGGTGGGATAGAAGATGGGACCAGAATCGGGATAGGGAGCGTGAAAGAGAACGAAGAGCACGGCATCGAGAGGCAGGGTTGTCACCGGAGGCCTCGTCGGTGCATTTCCCCAAGCCGGTGCGGGCGTCAAGGCAAGGACGGGACATAACAGATTCGAATTCGGTTACCAAGCTGTCGCAAATATTCATCCCGATGAACCGGCAGGAGTTGGATCAGTATGTCAAGGGAACTGCACGGAGCGTAAATCGATCAAGAGATGAGTGCAGTTCTAGGGGTTGTAAGCAATGGAAGGACACGCTTGACATATCCAATTCGGATTTGTGGGATGCTGACTGGTCGGAAAAGAAGGATAAAAATCTTATTCAGTCGGATGAGATTGGATCGACTCTGTTCCTGCAGCCAACGACGCGGGTGATTCCTCCGCTGGCATCGCCCCTCATGGAGCAGGTGCCGGAAATGCCCCTCGAAGAAGACCCAAGACAGAATGATAATCGAGAGTTGAGAATCTGGGAATCGGAAAATGAGAGTATTCCTTCCTCGGAGACTGTGATTGCTAAACGGCAGAAGGTGGAGGAGGCCGTGGAACTGGAAGAAGGCGAAATTGCTTCTTTGGACGGTGATCCAATGAATAATGATGTGGATCACGGCAGGTAGGTTGCTTGCATATTGACGGGGAGCGCGATATAGTAAGACATGATCGATTTCTGTTTGGTACTTAGGTCTTCCTTGATCGTCTCAGATAGTGCGGAGAGTGAACGTAAAAGAGCAAAAAAGAAGGACAAGACGTTGCAAGACTCGGAACGAAGGAAGAAACGTTCCAATAAGGGGAAACCGAAACCGAAGTTCCATGGAAAATCGATAAAGGGAAAGCTGAAGGAGCTTTTCGGCACGGATGACGATGTTGATGATTCACTTTTCGTGCGACCGGAAACAGCCAAAGAAAAGCTCTCGGTGGATGAGAGAGAATCTTTGCATAGCAGAAGGGAGAATGTCCGCTCGGAAGATAAGAACGCTGAACATACAACTAGTGCTAGAATGCAATGTTTGGAATCGACTTATGAAATGGTTTTCCCGAACCATTCAACACCACCACCATCCCAAGAATGTACACTGCAAAGGGAGGCCATTTCGGAGGAAGCTCCAGGAGAGGATCAGACTCCAATAATGGTTGATGTAGTGGTGGAGCCCAATATGGAGGTTTTTCCAGACCAAGTATCTACTGAAGAATTTCAACACGACCAACTGCTAATGGATGCTTCTGCAGCGAAAACTTCTTCCTCGAATGAGATTCTTCCGCTAGATGATCTCGTAGATCTCGTAGATGCTTCTCCAGCGAAAACGTTTGCAGATACGTCGCAACAGGTCTACCAATACAAAAGCCCGGAAGTCGTCGTCTTCTCCAACAAGTACAGTGAATATCATGTGGAGGACAACAACGAAACCGAAACCACCATCTACATGACGCGAAAGAAAAAGAAAAAGAACAAATCCGGTTGTTGTTGAGTTTCTTAAGTTTCTTCAGTTAATGTTTTGATCGTTTTATATACATACTTGACATAACTCATAAGTACCTACATATAAACAATATATACATTGCTTGACATCAATCGCAGATTTTCGTTCGCCCGGCTTTATCAGCCAACTGGGAGGCCTCCAGCAGCTCTTTTTCGTTGATCAAATTTAATAATGATTCAGAAATGAAAGAGGGGCTGGCTAGAAAAATGTTCTAGCTACGACCGATGTAAAATACCTTACAATCAAGCATACCATCACACACAAATTCCCCTTAGTAACCAAGTAGGAGTCAAACCCTTCTACCGGCACTATAAGTATGCAAAGCTCCCAATATTTGACATTCTTCAACACAACCATCCGCACATTCCGACAGGAAGACAACAACGGAATCCACATACCAACCACCGGTAAATGCAAACATCCGCTGCTATGGGAATAGAACAACATTGCATAAAATCGTCCGGAACCGGTGGGAACGCTTTGCCGCTCGATACCATTATCGCCGCTGCGTGCACATTGTTTTAGTAACCCGCGGTGCAACGATCCCGTCGTTCGTCGTCGGTGGTGGCAACAGCAAGTTCAAGGCTTACGGTGAAAAGAGTCCCATTTGAATTTCACTCTTTTCAAACTAAGTGAACCGAAGGGTAAACCCCAAACGTGCCCGCCACAGAAGAATAGGTTTCCTAATTAATCACATGCAATTAGTCCTGTATGTAGAGTAGGAACCAGAAGTGTCTCATTTTTTTTTACTGAAATAGTGCGCTGACGGGTGGTTAAGAGATCTGGAGCAGACGATTTTCTCTCATTAGTATTAATTAATTCAAACCGGCGAGGGCCGCAGCGCAGTCGAAGCGACCTGGGGAAAAGTGCACCCAACGAAAACACATATCAATGACGATTGAAACAGTGGTTTGCTTCAGAGTTTAGCTCAGAGACGGAAACAGATGAAAAGAACGAAGTGCTGCTCGTAATTCGGAAACTAATTGCGGAATACATATTCTACGAAAGGAGGCACACAATGTGGAAGGAATAAATTGCTGGAGTTGATTACCCTGGGACTTCATTGGATACCTACGTCTCGATCGAATCGACGATGCATACTTATTAGAAGTTTTTTCTGATGCTATAATAGGAAATAGAGGTCGCTGGCTTTGTTGTGACTGACGAAGCGGTTTTTCCCAGCGAAGAAAATAGCTTTCCCGCCTCAGTAGCAGGAGTTGACCTAATTATTCGTTTTCTACCTTCCGTTAGCAGCGTTCAGAATTCTCAGCAGTGTCTGACAGGAATTCTATTCATAAATAATTACCTTCCGACCTACGAATGTGGGCAGTGTAGGAACTTTTATATAGGCACACGAAAGTGAGCAATTTCATTTAGTGTCCCACAATTCGTGCTGAGGAAATTCTGATAATTCTAATGAAGTTGGCCTACGTGTATATAGAGTCTATTAACCGTTATGTGCTTGACGAGGTACCCGGGTACCCAGCTTTCATTTGAATAACAAAACATTAGAATTAGAAAAAAGCAGAAAAATATCGAGCACTAAGGGTTTTAGAAGGGAATAAAATAACCTGAAGGAAGCAGAAATTGGTTTTTTTTTGGAGGCGTTCGATTGCATTCTTTGCTTTTTGCTAAGTTGCCAGGGAATTTGAACTTGGTGAAATCCTTACAGTGACCTATAACTGGTCTGAGGGTCTGAGGAACTTCGATAACGGGTATAGTGGATTTCCGATGGCTACATTAGGAGGTTCAGTGAACTATTGGGGATTAAATCGATGATGCAAGAGTGCCACCCCCAATAATTTTGAAAATAAACACATTTTCAATGCTAGCTCATCAGTGTGCTCCATTTTATATGTATATATATATATATATATATATATTTTGTAAACATTATTTTTCATAAGGCAAATCAATTAAATGCATACCGATTTATTGTGGTTAAAATTCATAAGTGGTGCTTATGAAATTCTTACGTTCTTTTGCCTCAGTGTATAGTATAAGAGAGGAGCAGACTGCACGGCGAATGAGAACGACTCAAATTTGAGTTTAGTTCACTCATAATCACCAAAAGTGCAGGAACTCAGCGATGAGTAAAATTTGTCCCATGGTTTTCTGTGGAAAACCTAAAAATTTGCCGGAAAATGGGGAAATTGACGAAAATTTTATTCAGTCTCGGAGTAGTACCAATAGACTGAGTGAATCCAATCTTTACTTTTCTCAAATTCGGGAATTTTTCCCTGGAAAATCCTGGAAAAACATGAGGCAAATTAACTCATCGCTGAGTTCCTGCACTTTTGGCGATTATGAGTGAACTAAACTCAAATTTGAGTCGTTCTCATTCGCCGTGTGGCTCAAGGTGGATAATTAATCATTTTGTTCGACCATTTTCCACAGAGATGGCGCTGTTCCGCTGGTAGGAAGTGATAAAAATCCCCATATGAAAATTGAGAGAAGTGGGAATAATTTGCTTTCGGTGCATTTTCAGGTCAAAAAAAGTGAATGACAACCTAAAGAAATTTATTAGGGACTTTGTCGTTCAGTTTTTTCCCGGGAATTAAAGCTAAACAAGCTACAATTAAATAAAAATGATTTTTCCCCATACAATTTTACCTGCTTTACTACCAGTCTTCAGAGAGCCAAAAAATTTCAAATTTGAGAGAGAAATTCTCTCTCACAAGCTCAATCTCTCAACATGCCATGTATTTTGTTGATACTCGATTTGTGATTTTCCTTTAACAGATTACAAAATAGAGTACCTGACACTACAAAACATGTCTGGTACCTCTATATATGCATTTGCTTTAACATTTGAAGTCCCTCCTTTTTTACATATTCTGCGCAAACGATACTTTATGCCCCGCCCCATACATAAAATTCGGCGGGAAATTCTGTGAGGGGTGAGCTATTTTGTGTGCAGAATGTGTAAAAAAGGAGGGACATCGAATAATAATCTAAATGCATATATAGAGGTACCATACATGTTTTGCACTGCAGTGTCTTCTGTGAACAATTATAGGAAAACAGATTGTGTCTAGTTTCCGATAGATGTCACCGCAAACAACAGCTGTGTCATCTGATGGAACATAAATGCAGAAGCTTGACAAAATGATTAATTACATGAGGGTTGGAACTAGCAATGGGCGATCTTGGATCGAAACACAAAATATCGATTATTTTGGTTAGATTAATCGATTTTTTTTAATCGATCTCAAACACGAAAAAAATCAACTGAATCGATCCTTTTCATTCGATTTTTGTTTCAATCCAAAAAAAATTGACGTTTAATTGTCTTTCTCTATCTAGCACACATGGATGAACGGACGCTTTGTTTTCCCACTAATCTGTTTCCCTCTTACTCGCGCTCATTCGATTTAAATGGTGCAGTCTAGGGGCAGCTGTTCTCGGGATCAGGGTTACTTCCATTCACTTGCTATAAAAAGACGTTTTTCGGAATTATGAAATCATGAAATAGTATAATGCTAATTAGTACTTGTTAGTTACAAGAAGAGGTCATGAATTATATGTTTGACACATAAAATCTGTCAATATTGCTTTCAGTGCGTCACAATCAGCGATTTTACGACTCGTGAGCGCTCACTCAGAGTGCACGCTCACGAATCATAAGATGGCTGATTGTGACGCTCTGAAAGCGAAATTGAAAGGTTTTATGAGTCAAACACATACTTTACACCCTCTTCCTGTTACTTAAAAGTAGAACATACCATTATAACATCTAATGATTGCATAATTCCGAAAAATATTTTTTTTATAGCAAGTGAGTAGAAGCAACCCTGCTCAGGATAAATATATTTGCACGGAGTAAAATATAGTTACTCAATATTACTCAAAGTTGATCTAAATAGTCTAAAAATAATCGCCAGGATCTTAAAAAAATTTAGTGGAAAGTAGCAACAAGTTGTGATCTGTCAGCGATACATTATCGGGTTCTTAACTACTATACAAATTATAAATTTTATTAATAGACAACGAAACATTTTAACTTCAAAACAGCTTATAAAGGCAATAATTAACTGCACAAACCCATTTTTCTCCGCCCAAGCCGGTCTGCAACTAAAATTATTAATTGGGTTACTTACCTTACCAATCAGGCTAAGGCCTTGTTGTCCTCTACTGTCCGAAGAAGTCTCGATCGATTGTGTCGTATGCGGATTTGAAATCGATGAACAAATGATGTGTGGGCACGTTGTATTCGCGGCATTTCTGCAGAACCTGCCGAATCGCGAAAATTTGGTCCGTGGTAGCGCGGGCACCCATGAATCCCGCCTAGTATTGCCCCACGAACTCTCTTGCATATGGTGACAGACGGCGGCATAGAATTTGGGAGAGTACCTTGTAGGCGGTGCTCAGCAGTGTGATCGCGCGGTAGTTGCAGCAATCCAACTTGTCGCCCTTTTTGTAGATTGGGCATACGACACCTTCCATCCACTCCTCCGGTAATATCTCCTCCTCCCAAATCTTGGCAATTTCCCAGTGCAGCGCTCTAGCCAGTGCTTCCACACCCTATTTTAATAGCTCACTTGGTAGTTGATCTACACCAGTTGCTTTGTTGTTCTTCAGCCGACCGATCTCCTCCTCAACTTCTTGAAGATCAGGGGCCGGTAGCCTGTCGTCTTCTGCGCGTGCTCCAAGGTCTGTTGCCGTGCCACCTTCGTTTTCTGCTGCTTCACCGTTGAGGTGCTCGTCATAGTACTGCTTCCACCTTTCAATCACCTCACACTCGTTCGTGAGAAGGTTACCGTCCAAGTCCTTGCACATATCGGCTTGCAGCACGTAGCCTTTGCGCGAACTATTTAGCTTCTCGTAGAACTTCCGTGTGTCGTTTACGCGATACAGATTTTCCATCGCCTCGCGATCTCGGTCTTCCTGCTGACGCTTCTTCCTTCGGAAAACCGAGTTTTGTCTGTTCTGCGCTTGTCTGTAGCTCCACATTCAATCTCGTGCGGTGTTGCAGCATTCTCGCCCGTGCTGCATTCTTGTCCTCTACTAACAGT